ATCTCTGTTTTGGAACAACTTGTGTAATAAAACTGAACATGGTATATTTTTGCCTATATAGGCGAAAAATATACAAATACAAATTGAATTTATTGAATTGATATTAAATAAACGTTCTTTGCTATAAGTTCAAAAAATTATTATTTGAAATAGTAGAACAATTAGAAAATAAATCGTTTGAAAATAATTTCGAAGGTCTTACTCGATAAACTATATTCAAACGATTTATTTACAAAGTATTGTTTTAAGTCAAACATGATCAGAGGGTCTTGAAACGTGTATTTACGTATCAATTTTTCATTCAATATGGGCTTTGCTTATATATTTGTGTCTATATAACTTGAATTTAAATTCAAATGGTAATGAAAAATCAATGACGCATGTTTGTACATTATTTTTTAATCCTGGACTCGTTAATGGTACTTCTCTAAGATTAGATAGGGACAGTAATGGGGAAGAAAATTTAGTGTCGGTGCCTTCTAGTTCGTAACATTTAAGCTTTTTATTACAGTCTCTCATCATGTATTTCATGAAACCTCTCCTTCTATTCATTCCTGATTACAGAAATGCATATATAACTCTAATAATTTTTAAACTTATTACATTGCTCAATGGATAGGAATAATCCTCTATTTGTACAGGACAAATATATAAACGTCGAACCAACAAGTCCATAAAATATGCAGGATAATTGCCCATAAGAAATTCATCTACAAACAAATTAGGTACATTAGCTAGTAGTGCATTATTGGTAGCAGATTCTGACCCCTTTAAGCATGTCTAATATTTCAACTTCGTTTTCTTCCTCTTCTTCTTCTTCTTCGGATGATTCAAAGTCTCCATTTTTATCAGTTTCTTCTATGTACATTAGACTATTAACATCCCCATCAAATTTAAAAATTCTGTTTATGGAATGTGTTGTGGCACGAGCTGCATATTCCTGTAAAAACCCCAATGGAACAAGTATTTCTGCAGATGCATTTGTATAGCCATTTATATTGATTTCTATTATGCTTAATATATTTTGTCTTACGGTTTTAGGTGATCTACATGGTATTCCAATGACTACTCTGTCCAAGGTGTAAAACCTGCTCAACCATTGTAAAGTTGCTTCTATACAGTACTGTCGATTACTATACCTTTTTCTTCTTATTCGTCGTAACTTTAAATAACGAAAGAAGTTTCTAAATGTACCACGTTTTACATAATCATTGCCTAGTAATATTGCAGCTAATGGCAGTGTAGATTGACTTAGACCTCTAGAAGAATTTAATAAGTGTTCAACTTTATAAATTTTACAACGTTTCGTGTAACCATTTCCAGTTGAACTTTTCACCGTGTAATTGTCCAATGTATCAAATGGTATGTACAATGTCCCAAACACATAAAAATCTGAATCATAACTCGATACAGGACAATTCAATACCCTTGCTACAGTAGCTATAGCATTATCAGCTTCGAATAAGCATTGCACATGACGAACATTCTTCTTTCTCGTAACATCTTTGAAAACTTCCTAAATATGTAAAGGACAAAAATTTCATTTTCTGTTGACAGATCGGAGAAAAAGATGATGCTGTACGAATCTTTACTTTAGTTCTAGATATAACTGTTTGCAGTTTCTTATCCTCGCAACCGCCATCGATCAAAACTAATGGTACTACATTGCACTTTAACAAATCGTCAAAAAAATCCGATACTCGTTGAGCGTATTTATCGTAATCACCGCCAAAAACACAATTGCACTTGTACGAATTATATATTCGACAGCTAAATAACTAAATACGTATCACGTAGCTCGAACTATTCCAAATAACGATCTGAACGATTGTTTATGAAAGTTGTTAAACCCGGAATACCCATTTTGAAACCTATTTATTAATTTACACTTTTCTTAATGTTTCATATCACAAACTAAGTTCGTTATGCGTATATCAATATTAGTTATGCATTTATACATAGGTTACATGTAACAGGTACTCAAATTTTTTGTCATTCGTTATTTTATTTGAATCAAAAGTTTGTTAAATATTATACTTTGACTACTTGGATAAATCAAAGAAATACAAGAGCCGTGCATAATGTTTTTGCATTGATCTTTACGATATTACAAACCGGTATAATAAAAAATAAAATTAGATAGTATACTGATCTTGCATAATGAAGTGCATCGACGGGCGACAATACTAACGACGAATTTCCTTCCTATACATATAGGCAAATATACCATGTTCAGTTTTATTGCATAACTTGTTCCATAACAGAGATGTAAAGTGTCTCTGAGTTGTTAAATATAAAAATTGTTACAAAACAGTGATGTAAAGTGTCTCTGAATTGTTAAATATAAAAGTTGTTACAAAACAGAGATGTAAAGTGTCTCTGAATTGTTAAATATAAAAGTTTTTACAAAACAGAGATGTAAAGTGTCTCTGAGTTGTTAAATATAAAAGTTGTTACAAAACAGAGATGTAAAGTGTCTCTGAGTTGTTAAATATAAAAGTTGTTACAAAACAGTGATGTAAAGTGTCTCTGAATTGTTAAATATAAAAGTTGTTACAAAACAGAGATGTAAAGTGTCTCTGAGTTGTTAAATATAAAAGTTGTTCAGTTCATTGCATAAGTTGTTCCCACAAATGAGATTTTCTTGGTCTTTAAAAAGACCGGTTTTGTCCCTTGGCCGCTGCTCGTGAAACATCTTCTTGGCCGCCATCTTCGATTTTGATCGAATGTAAATCTTCAATTAAATTCTTCATCTCGATGCGGTCCGTCTTGCTTGGTGGTTGGGAGATAACTCCCGCGCGAGGGCCTCAGGGGGCTCTTATAACGTTTCAAGGAGGACGGACGATGGTCGCCCCCAGCGGACTGGCTGCTGATTGGCTCGTTGATACTTTGGCTTGACTGCATAAAAGTGGACACAGCTGGGCAACTATTTTCAGTACTCCTGGAACCGCCGGGGGTACTGTCACGCGTTTTTGTTTTCTGTTTCAGATATCTTCTGCGATGCTGACCAGGAAGGAAGGATCACCCTTTGGTTTTGGTATAGATACAATTAATATTAATATAACTAATGAAAATATTGTGTTTTTCTGCATTTTTATGTATATAGGTATTTTCATATTTGGGTTCTTCGTTCATCTAGTTTTATCTATATTCGTTACATCGTTGGGTTGATATTTTTCAATTTATTCTATTCTATCTTCGTCTCGCTTTCATCGTTGGTTTGTTCTTTTACGATTTATTTTGTTATTCGTCTTGCGCTTCGTTGGTTTTTTAATTTTCAAAATTAATCTATAATTCAAAGTACACATCGTTGGTTTCTTTTTTTTTCGAATGATTCGTTTCGTTAATTTACTTCGTTGGATTGTTCCAATTCCTTATTTCAAACTAATTTGTTATTTAGGTTTTATTATTTGTCTACATGTACACATAACTACTAATTTTTATTTCAGTTTTTTACCAGATCAATTTCTAGGAGGAGGAGGAGATCAATAGATGACGTCGGATTCATCGGCCGGGATTTAAATGTAAGCCGATTAATTTTAAGGCGCGGCGCGAATGTAAAAATTAACGTCGAATTTTTCTTTTTCCTTCTTTTCCTTGTTTTTCCGATGTTTCCTATATTTTATTAATTCACATTAATTCTCAATTCCACCTACGACGTTAATTTTCAATTTACATTGTATATTATTTTATTTACTGCGTAGATTGCCAAGTGATGAAATAATTAATAGCTTCTTTTCCAGTCTCGTTTCTCCGGTCACCGCTGCTTTAATGTAGAAAGCAAGTGATCGGCCGTTTAGATGGTTCGAAGGGTCGGTTGCCGTCCTCTGGTGAGACAATTCTAGGGAAAGAGTCATCGGCCGTAGAGGGGACCTGTTCCTGTCTGCGGTAGCCCCGACTCAGGATCCCTCTCCTGTGTCAGACGTCCCGGGTTGGGTCCTACGGGCTCCCAGCAGGACGCGTTGGAGAAATGGGGAACCCGTGTCTGGTGCGTCGATTCTCCTCCCCTTCAATTGGACTTGCTAAGAGGTAACGAGCTGCCCCTTTTGACCCGCTATTCGGTACGTGTCGCACCTCATGTTCCTACTGCACTGTGCAGTATTGTGTCGCGTTTCGTCGTGTCGCGTTTCCCACAATTTAGCTTCCTCCTTTGTTTTAGAAAAGTAATTACTTGGCATCTTTTTTTTTGCGTAATCTAGTTTCTAAGTGTGTAAAAAGGAAGGTCGATCGAACTTTGTTCCATCGGTCTCACTTTGGGTCTCCACTCGCAGCAACCTCCTCGTGGTGAGACCTGGTAATCGGTGTTACCTTTGAAGAACAACTTCTTCATTATGGGTAACACCGAGCTAATGGCTGCGAATTTAAAACAATATAAATTTGATTTTTAATCGAAATCAAAATTAAATGTTGTCTAATACTTTTTTCTAGGTATGCATCAGCTCAACTTCTACAAAAAATTTCAATGAGATAAGTTTTACTTTATTTATTTTCAAAAATCGTATTAATAATATACACATGTGTGCTCATACATGGGAATAAAAAAAAATTTCTTTTTTTTCAATAATTAAAATATGATCAGGAGGTCTTAAAACGTGTATTTCCGTAAAATAAATTTTACAAAATTTTTTTTTCATTATGGGTACTTTGCTTATGTGCGCCTACATAGGTCGGAAAGGAAAAATGCCTGGGCAGTCGAGAAGCCAAATCGTATGCCGTTGACGGGAGGTCGGATTTCAGTTGTGTGGGAGCGAGAAGGCAAATGTGAGCCTTTCTCTCTCGACTCCCACGAAGCGGTCCGAAATTACTTCGGGCAGCTTCGGAGAATCGAGAAAGAGGGCATGCGTCAGTTTGCCTTTGTCGTCTTTTCGAAACTCCACGAGCTCACGTAAGTAAGTACGCGTATCTGGCATAATCGAGTGCATCGAAATTTCCATTAGTAGTAAGTGGTAATAGTAACGACAAATCGGACAATTTCCTTAGCGTCTAACGGAGTGGTGGGGATAGCAGCAAGCATATCCTACTCGTAACATGATAAGCACGATATGGTTATGTGGATATTCATGGTTATATAAATATTAATTAGAAGGATGTCGTGTATCTGGATATCTTTATAGTTAATATTTATAGTAATCTGATTAGGCTCCAAGTAAGAACGGTAATTGTATCGTAATGCTATAAGCATATGGTTATGAAAATATGTAAAGATACCGGCAGTACGATAATCAATTGCTAATCTTTTACTTTGGCACGTGTTAATATGAAATAATGGTTAACGAACCAAAAATAATAATTATTGGAGCTGGAGCCGCAGGTATTGCTGCAGCAGCTAGATTGATAGAGAAAGGTTTCGGAAACGTGACGATTCTTGAAGGAAAAAATCGGATTGGTGGCAGAATACACACGGTAGAATTTTGTAAGTAACATATTTGATTTGCATCGGAAATCACAGGCTAGTTATGTTTCTGTATTTTCAGCGGATAATGTTGTAGAATTAGGGGCGCAATGGGTTCATGGTGAACGTGGAAATGTAGTCTTTGATCTTGCTTCTCCACATAAACTGTTGGATTCGTCAAGATGTTTCAACGATTTCAATGGACATATTTTTGTGACCGCGCAAGGTGAAATACTACCAAAAAAGGAAGCCGTAGAAACATTAAAGTTGTATTATTATATTTCCGAGCATGTCACAGACGATATAAACAATTCAAATTCTTACGGAGAATATTTTATAAATCGGTAAGTACATAAATTTAAAAATATATACACATAAGATACAATATTATTCTCTGTATAAAAAGTTTTCTCATTTTTATTCTATAAATATTCACCTTGAGCATTTTTTTAAAAGAATGTTCTCAATAAATGCATCGATGTCGCTTTCCCTGAACCATGCCTGCAACGTTGGATGCAAATTTGCTCTTATTACCGTGTAAACTTCTTTATCAGAAACTATACACCTAATCAAAGATTTTCACCTTTATTATTATGTACATTAAACAGAAGCATAAGTACGATATCGATGAACACACCTAACACGACAATTGACACATTGATTTCTCATATATTCGTACCTCAATAAGGAATATATATATTTTATATACTTTGTGTCCAATTTATTTTGATCTTCGCTATATATATTTTTAGGATTATGTATTTTTTCCAAGTATCCTTGCGTTAATATCGGTACGATGAAATTTACCTAAAAGTAATCGATAAATATTAAAAAGATCTTCTAATAGGAAACACACAAGATTACCTGTTTAAAGCAATCATCTACAAACTCTTCCGCTCTGCTGTATACATAGTTTTCTTGTTCTTGAAGTATGAGTACTCCGATTCTAGGTTCTTTAGACCTAAATACTTTTGCTATACGTTGTGCTGTCGTTAAGCCATCATCGGCAAACGTTAACATGACTACACATCCGTACATCCGTTTAGTCTACGAACAAGGTAAAGAAGAAAATTTTTTATATTATTTACCGTAATCCCATTCTTTAAGTATTTACAGCAAACAATCTATGGTACCTTTTGTAAGTTATCTTCTACGACGTGTTTACAATTGTCTCTCTCCTTTTCTGTTTTCTGCGCAACTTCTATCGGAGTTAAAATTAACGGTGCTCTTGGAACACTTTTCGATCGTAATATGGTAGATTCTACGCAAGTATAAAGAAACTTTTCTATTTACAGAAAAAATATAGATAACATCGTATGCAACAGTTTTTAAACTACCATCGGTCGTAGCATTTTGTGGAATTGCATCCATTAAATCAGAAATGTTGTCCTTTATTTCATTAATTACATCGAAACGATGCATTTTTTGCAAGGCGTTTAAAATTTTATCTATAGTTGCTCCAGTGTGTTGTACGTACGCCAGCAATACGTAATAAGTTGGATCCTGCAAGCCTTTGAAGTCATATTCTATACACTATAGAAAATGAACGGTCGTTAGAAAAATAGAGTTATTGGGTAAAATATTGTTGCTAGAAATTAATTATGTCGATAACACTTTATGCCCTCGTACACGTATTTGTTCTATCGTTAAGCCCATGTGTGCTGCAAATTCTTGCCATCCGCTGTACATTTTTCCTGTAGCGGTAGAGCTCAATAGCAAGCATAATTTTTGCAACGTAGATCGTCCAATTTGCTCAAATAAATAGGATGCATGAATTCGTGCTGTAGCTCTTTCTATATTTAATGTTACTGTATCTAAATTTGGTGGGTCATTTACCTCCTTTCTTAACCTTTCCAGTTCAGGATCTATGTTACTAAAATCATGTTTTCAATTCCATGTTACTTTATTTACTAAACGGAAATAGTAATTACAACGATACATGCATTTTGAAAAATTACAACTGTAGAATGTTTTTATTTCAGATACAGTTGAGAAAATAATTCGTACCTTTTTGCAAACATATTGTGTATATCTATGATACATGCAGCAGAAAGATAAGTTTCAATACTTTCTTTCTTTGACTTTAATATTATAGTGCATCCCTGTACGTTGCAACGTTTTTAAAAGCATATTTTCAAATATAATATAAAATTAACACGAGCAACAGTATAAAAAATGATTTACACGAAGACGTTAATTTTACGTACACGAACGTACTTACGTACGGTTCTATGTCAAGTTAGGAAATCTTGTTTCACAAATATACCATACCTACCCCCACCACTACACACTTCAAGGCCGATGACTCGTATTGCAATCTGATTTCACCGCTTAAATTTCGAATTGAAGCCGCGAATTCTAAAACACGTAGATCGAATATCACATTTTAAATTTTTACAAATTAAATTTAAACATTGTAACGGTATAACAATTTTCGATTATTCTCTGCAATCTGCTTCTGACAGAAGTTAAAATTTTTGTAAAGTTATTTTTTGAACTTGGATTGTGATTCCATTGAACGATGTAATCATTTATTGTTTTCAGTTTTTATAGAATTTTCGAGGAAAATCCATTTACTACTCCCGATAGAGCAGAACAGTTGTTAGATTGGATGCATAAATTTGATAATTCGTTTCAATGCAGTGATTCATGGTTTGAGGTTTCTGCTAAAGAAATAACGAATTATTGGACCTGCGAAGGAGATCTTGTACTTAATTGGAAACACCGTGGTTATAAAACACTGTTTGATTTATTATCTGTAAGAGGAATTTATATTAATTATAATTATAATATACTGTCCAATATTTTATAAAATATATCGTTCTGTACCATTATCCTTTCAGCGTAAGGCCTGTGGTAAAATGAACTTATTGCCCATAATAGAAAAGATTGAATTTAATAAAGATGTTTCTAATATCGACTATAGATCGCGTAACAATATAGTTGTAAAAACAAAAGATGGTGTTAAATACACAGCATCTCATGTTATATTTACTCCGTCTCTTGGAGTTTTAAAAGAGAAACACGCTACGATGTTCGCGCCGATCTTGCCTGATAAAAAACAACGCGCAATCAAGGCACGTTTTCCTGTATACAATTTCATTATGCGTTTCATTTAAATCAGTTTCATTTAAATAGATTCTAATTATATTATTTAGGGCTTGAATATTGGAACCGTGAACAAGGTGTTCCTGGAATTCTCGCATAGATGGTGGCAAGAAGATTGTGCCGGCTTCAGTTTAATTTGGTCCAAAGAAGATAAAACAGAATTTCTTAAATCTCACGGACAAGTACAGTTGTATTATTTAATTCGACTATACTGTTGTTAACTCGATTCTTAACTATATTAAATGTATTGTGTGTGATTTAGGAATACGAGTGGCTGTGCGATGTTTTTGCATTCGTTCCTGTAGACTATCAGCCACGAGTATTATGCGCATGGATCTCTGGCAAGTATGCGAAACAGATGGAATCACTGTCCGACAGCAGCGTATCCGACGGATTGTTCCTGCTATTAAAAATGTTTCTCGATAAAGCGTACAATATCCCGAAATTTCATCGAACGATTAGGTAATAAATATTTCAATTTCAACGTTTAAACATTTTCTAATGTTTCTTTTATTGCTTATAGATCATCGTGGTATACGGACGAACATTTCCGTGGATCTTACAGCTTTAAAAGCCTAACGACCGAAAAGCTGAGTGCGAAGACAAAAGATTTAGCAGATCCACTTATAACGGCCGATGGCAAGCCTGTATGTGTACTTTACACAATTCAATACTTGAACAATAATGTATATTAAATTTCCTAATAATCTTGTTTGCTTATTAGGTAATTCTTTTTGCCGGAGAAGCAACGCACGATCATTATTATTCTACCGTGCATGGAGCAGTTGAAACGGGTTTCAGAGAAGCAAATAGAATAATAAACTTTCATAGGTAAATTCTAGAATATTTTTTATTTTTTTTAAATATTTCAAGATTATTCGGATAATGTAGTTATAGCATACAATGGTACAGTCTGTTTGATCATTCGTTCCACTAATTCTGATGACGGATTTTAAATTACAAGTATTGATTTTGTGGAAGCAAAAAATGATAGAAATGTATCCTTTGGTAGACGCATCGATGTATGAAAATGATAAAATTGTATCGTGATTCCGCATTATTCGATACTCTGTTTAATTTTACCTATCTCTAACCATCGTCAAGATACAATTTTCTCCGGTTGCGACTCATCTTCCATCACACTCGACATTTTTCAAATTCGTTTAAGCATCGGATTCAATAGATATTTGTTGAAAGATAATTCGTATGATTTTTTACGTTTATTATTTTATACATTTTACTATCATTATTGCTTTTAAAGTATTTTTATTTTAACGGGAAAACACGAGTGAAAGATCAGTGTATATTAAAAATATTTAACGTTTATTAACGCATTCTATTTGTATTGATCAGCATGGTTTTTCTTAGGCGGTTAAAGTCACAGCTCTAAGTCCAGAGCCACATGTTTCTTCATAAAGGACGATGGTCATTTATAGACTTACTTGATGCTTTACACAACATCCAAGGAACAGATACTTCTTATATGTATATTTAGAACTTTCTAAACGAACAACATTAAGTTGTACGTGAATATTTGAAATATGTTTCTCTACCAAATAACTGTTTATTTTTATTATTTTATCCCCATAGGGAAAGGAATTTAAAACATATACTTCTGTACTTAGCCTTTTATAACTCAAATTATGCCTGGCTTCGGAAAAGAAATTATAACCAATGATAACGAGATATAAATTGAAAGGTAACTCTCGTTGATCGGGAATTTTCAAATGTAACGATCCTTGTCCGAGATATTAATAGTTGTATTCTGATTGTTCGTAGGCTATACTATTATTGCTTTTAAACTGAAATTTATACTTGTTGTGCTGATCGTAGAATGAAATTAGAATGAAAAAATGTAGATAATGGACTTGAGTCACACTGGGTTATAGAGGGTTAATATTAAATGCTTTGCTGATTACTGTCAAAAATTCTCTACTGATTATTATTATAAGTAATAAATAATAGATTTTGTCATTATTTTGTTGTTACGTTTGTTATAGATGTTATCTGTAATTTATATTATCTTGGTTAATGTGTGTGCGTGCGTGCGTGCGTGTGTGCGTGCGTGTGTTAGAAATTCTTAATAAGTGGAAATGTTAATAAAAACATCACGATTGAAATCGTGTAGAACGTGTGGTTGGTTAAACCAAGCGATAAGCAGCTTGAAGAAATTGGGAAGGATGGTGGGCAGTGCGAACCAGATTACAGCAAGAACGAAAGTTGTAATAGTAGGTGCAGGTATAGCAGGATTATCAGCTGCAAAAACATTAGAGGACGCAAATTTTTGCGATTATCTACTGTTCGAAGGTAAATGAAATTCGGATAAAAGTTCTACTTAAAGATAAATGTATTATAGTCTATGATCAACTGTATTTTTTCGCTTTAGCTCAAACCGTGATTGGTGGTCGAATTCGTTCGTTAGCGTGGAATAAAAGTTGGATAGAAAGTGGTGCTCAATTTCTACACGGCGATCAAAGTCTGTTGGCACAGTTATGCTATCGAAATGGTTTACTTTCAGACGTTTCGTTTAGAGACGGTCAAGGTATTTTCATTCGTAATAACGGTATTAGAGTCGATGAAACGATAGTAGAAGAGATAGACGATCTTGTTCGTAACACTCTAGAAGATTATGAAAACAGAGACGTCGAACCAGGTTCTGAGAATATTGGCAGAGTTTTAACGAATTCCTTAAAAAAACACTTGCAACAAAGGGACGAGTCGGCAACAATAACAGACATAAAAAAAGAGTTATTCGATTGGAATGTTAGATTCCTGATGATCGACAATTCCTGTCTCACATTAGACGAGTTGTCCACAAAATACTGGGGGAAATTCAAGGTAAATGTACATCAGATAGGCGATTTGTACCCTCGAACGGTCGACGATATTAAAATTTACGCATTTTACAGTTTGTCGGAGGACCGGAATATCTTTCGTTTAAAGCCGGATACAATTCATTATCGAAACTTATCGCCGATGGATTGAATGGAAAAAATTTGCGTCTAAACACTTCCGTTGATTTGATCGAGTGGCAACAAGTTGTCGTTAAGGATCGCTCTACTCCTGTTCTACTCACACTCTCCGATAACACGAAAATTCTCACCGACTGTGTTATAATCACTAGCTCCCTTGGTTACTTGAAAGAGAATTACAAAAACATGTTCACCCCAGTGTTGCCGTCTCCTTTTGATCAGGCAATCGAAAGCCTTGGATTCGGTTTGATTAACAAAATCTTCCTGGACTTTGGTACACCATGGTGGAAACCTGGTACGAAAGGATTTCAACTGCTCTGGAAGGAAAGCGGCGTTTCGGATATTTATTGTAATGAAACGCTGCCCACATGGACCAGAGATCTGACAGGCTTCGATGTACTTCCCGATCACGAAGGTGTGCTTCTCGGTTGGGTCGGTGGTCGTGGTGCCTATATCGTTGAAACTTTAAGCGAACAACAAGTAGCAATAGATTGCGCAACCTTGCTCAAACATTACTTGAAGCTAGATGCGATGCCGTTGGCGAAAAGATGTCTGCGAACGCAGTGGAACGCAAACAATTACGTCCGTGGTAGTTACAGTCATATTTCAACAAAATGTGATGAGAACGGGGTATCGCCGGCCACTTTAGCAGAACCAATATGGAGTAAAATAATAGGAAACTATAGCAGTAAGGTAAAGAAACTGACGCGCTTCGTTATGGAATACGGAGGAACCTGTTACAGAGTATTGTTTTATTTTAGGATATACCTGTTATTATGTTCGCCGGCGAAGCAACGCACGACAACTTTTATTCGACGACTCACGGTGCTTACGAAACTGGTGTAAAACAGGCACAAGTTTTTCTACGGCATCACCTTTTAAAAAATTGATCTTTAAATATGGCAATAGTGATCGTCGTTTTGTACATATGTATACATAAACGCACAGTTTTAGTTTAGAAGAAAGAGGAAATTTTTATATTTGGTACTGTACTGGTAATTTCGCGTTTATACGACAACGTTTACAATTAATTCCGTTCCGTTCTACTATCGTTTTCGTCGTACAGTTTTATCAGTCTCTCGGCTTCTCTCCATCCAGAACCAATAGCGCCGTGCACCGTAGAGAAATGGTATTCGTTGGTAGCTTCTCCCGCAAATAGTATCACCTGGAACGAGAAAAATACGCGATGCAGTTTTAGCTCTCTGATTTCTCGAAAATTATTGTCATTTAGTCGATAAACTCACCGGTTTACCCATTTTCATAATCGGTTCGGCCAACTGCTTCGCACTTGTGTTTCTTCTCACAGTTTCTATGCTTTGGTAGCTATACGTGCCACGGAAGTGTTTATTTTCATGCCATTTACTTCTACAAAAAAAAATCAAAGATACGGATATGTCGTAACAAGATAAGAACGAAGAACAACATTTTCATAATCCCAAGATATGCTACTAGTGTATGTAGATACCGATTACCTTATCATTGCTGTTGGTCTAGCGACTTTGTATTCCTTTCCTAAGAAATTTTCTAACATGCTTACAGTCTGCTCCAGTACTTGATCGTCCGTCAGATCGTCCATCAAACGTCCACCTTTCCCGGAAATCCATAGGAGCAACAATCGAGGCTTATGTTCGACGACGTACGCTCCCATCGTGTATGGCAGCCACCTCGTTTTCGGCTGAAAGATGTATAAACGCGTTTAAATGAATTTTTTTCATAAAAATCGTTTACTTTCAGTAAGTAGGTACTTACATCAGCATCGAGCTCCATTCTTTCCGCCTCGCTCCACAAGAAGCTGAAGCCTCTGTTTTTCATTCCTCTATCGTTGAACCAAGTATCGTTAAACGCCAGGATTATTTTACAGGCATTTCCAAAACCTAAACCCTAAGGTACAAGTTGATAATAATATTTAGTTTGAAACTCCATAGACACGAGTTGCGAGTAGACCGCGTTGGACGAGCAAAGTGCACCTTGATATTTTTTATCTTTGATTCTGGTAGTTGAGGATGAAACAGTGTCTCGTATTGTGCCTTAAGCACTCCTAAAGAAGGCGTCATGATTACATGGTCGGCTATATATTCGTTTCCGTCGAGTGTCGTTAGTTTCACGGTACTACCGTTTTCGCTCGAGTAATCGACTTTCGTCACCTCGGCTTTAACAATTGTGTTATTTAACACGGGTAACTCCTCCTCCGGGTTTGGAAATTTTTTCTACAACGGAGAAATTTAAGGACAATTACTACTACTATATCGATAGCGTTAGAATATTATTTTCTAATAGGAACGCATTCATCGCACCATTAATATGTCTAAGATGGTGCTGTATCCGCGTTCCTTCCAATTTATCGTCTTGTCCCCCTCGCATCCCATGTACGCATAGTCCAACAACGATAAATCGTACCAGGAATCGGCGGGATCGAGGCTTGTTTCCATCATATGTAAACGCCATAGTAATTCTTCCTGCATTGTATCGTTTAATTCCGGAAATAGTGCAAAATGCTGTTTCGACCTAGCAACGCAAATTTAACATTGTAAATGAATGTACAAAGTGTGACTTATCGCGTATTTTTTTTATTATCATTTATAGATAGTTGGATTAAAATCTGAAATCTTTTGTCTTTCGTTTTTAATGTCCGATAATGAGTCACGAATACCCTTGCGATACGGTACATATCCACTTTATGTACGTTTATAGTTCGTACTTTTTTTCAAAACATTCGCCCATAGAAGCAGTGTTGTTGCAATCTTCTGTAGTGTCTATCGACTCGAGTAATTGGATAAAGAATTCCGTAACGTTGCTCATAATTTCCGAGTCGAGCAACTGGCCAGACTTGGTGTATATTTCGTCGTAGTACGGATCCGAGTGATCGGTAACGTTTAAAGGAGCTGCCAATTGATACGCAACGTTTCCTTTCTCGCCATGAATCCATTGCGCGCCTAAATCGACGACATATTCATCTATGGGAACACAGAGATGTCGCGTCTCAGATCATCGTTAATCGAAAATACACGTTCGTATCTTTGGAAACTCACCAAATTTTACTGTGTTTACACGTCCACCGATTCTGTCTTCGGCTTCCAGGATGAGAACATTATCGAAACCGTTTTCAAGTAACTTTGAGGCAGCCGCGATACCTGAAGCACCGGCACCGACTATCACGATTCTCGGTGATCCCGCGTCCACGTGAATCGTATTTTTCATCAAACAGAAAAGAAACAAAATCGCGGTTGAGAACATTTTCCCAATGCCGCGGCAATCTTTTCAACACAGATTACTCACTGTCGATTGACAGAACGGCCGTCTAGTATGTACCATTACGCGGTAACTCTTTATATACGTTTTCCGCTCTTATTCATGAGACAATTTATCTTTGATGAAGGAATCGGAGCAATTGTTTGTAGTAGAGAAAGATAATCGTTCAAAGTATAACTAATTACGTAATTGTTGTGCCGATGGATCTTCGTTATGATCTTACTTGTAACGAAGAACACGTTATCCTATGTAAATCCGATTTACACTACTTGAGGAAAGGGGACGCGTAAAACTGTTGTATTTCATTTTTATTAAACAAGCGAATGAGAATCCAATCGAATGGTTGACATACCTACCCTAAAAAGAAAATAGAAGATACAGATGTAAGTAAGTAGGTACATTACATTACATGCGGAGCTAGGTTTCTTTTTCGACCGGCAGATCATACCTTATAATTTATTCATTTTTTATCAAATTACTATTCGTTATTATTAACGTAATCACAAGTATGTACGTTTTACAGATACACATATCCGACACCCATAATTTATTCGCATTTTACATCATTGAATCGAATCGAATCGAATCGAATTTTAGGAAAGTATTTGCGCGTAAAATAATTTCAAAATATTCGTTATGATGCCTATGTCCGGATTAACAAAAGATATCTGGAAGGACAAAAAAGAAACGCGATGATATGTGAGACGATCTACCAATTTTATTTATCGCTTCTCTATGTTCGTCTTGCCACGTGCATGTATAGTGAAGTTACGTAAATCTAGAAAAATAATAAAGTTCAATGATTATGATATGTGACTTGCCGAAGGGGCATGCGATCTACAGATTGAATCCATGGATCGAATTCCCGAAGCTACAAGTTACGTACTATTAATGCATACATATGTATGTACCTACTACTTACTTACATCTTTTTCGCGTCATTGCCGATCATTCGTCGAAATTAAATGGGAGGTGGAAATGTGACAACAAATGACATTAAAAATATATATTTTATCTGTCGGATGTTGTGTTTGCAACGCAAACATCTTCGCTGCCGATCTTCTTCAAATTTATTCTTGTTTAATTCAAGGCCAAGAAAAGTTTGTTTCCGTTGATTACAATAATGGCATTCAGACTTAACATTCTCACGATATTCCTATCATTTGCGATTGCATTAGTGTTGTCTGCAAAATCTTCAGGTTAATTATAATTATTATTATGTTAGGATTTATACGCGTATTTGGTCCATCGTATTAACCGATCGCTTTGTCCGGTACCGTGATATCAAAGTCCTTTCAATTAAATTTCGCTGATCGTAAACTATACTTTATTTACTTATAAATTAAAAATTTTATTCTTTAAACAGCTACAAATATAGACAGATATATTTTTAGGAAATTCGAGGAGAAAGAAACCTAGTCCGCCGAAATTAAGCGACAATATTGATAAAAACCCATTTCTTCAAAGTACCACTAGTTCGCCAATGTTAAGCGACAATATCGTTAATAATCTTTTTCTTCAAAATCGCGACACAACCTTGTCTGCAAATTGGAGCAACCTTCTCTTATCGAATACCATTCAAGATATATCTGCAAATAATAATCCAGTAAAAAGTTTCCCCAACGCTAATCCTTTCTTACAAGGTGTTCTTAATGCAGATAAGAATGTGGTTCGTACAGTTTCCCCAAGTAATTTGACCGGCGATACAAGACCATCCAATGAGAAATTATCAGACTCGAGGAAGATTGTCGATAAAACAAGTAGACGTACGGATGCAGGAACAAAATCAGAACAAAGTAAGTATCTTTGAACATGAAATGTAATATTTAATGCTTTGTAATATTAATTGCAATATTAATTTATAATATGGATACGTTAGTGTGCCAAGAATATGGAAGACAAATTTCAAGCACGACAGGAATATTGTCTTTGGTCGGTGTAAATCAAGAGGCAATTAAGGTAACCACTCGAGACTGCGTATACTCTAATCAACTTGTCATCGGAGGTGATACTGCTTTTCCCGGTGAATTTCCTCACATGGTCGCTCTAGGTACAAGAAACCCAGACGGAACGTTTCATCTTTTATGCGGTGGTACGCTGGTTGCACCGGAATGGGTACTTAGCGCAGCTCATTGCACTTACCAACCAAAGTATTATTTTTTATCTTCTTTATTATCTATCACAGATTAGAGTAAAATATACATTTTATATAGAAACAATTACTATAATTATGCGATGATTTTTAAACGTTAATACTTTTAACAAAAGTCCGACAGATGTACGTATTGGTTTTCACGATCTGAGAGACAATCAACATGGCATCACGACTACGATTAATAAAATGATACGTCATCCAAATTACAAACCTCCTACGATATATAACGATATAGCTGTGATTAAGTTAAATACTGTTATTACGTTTAACAAGGAAATACGGCCTGCTTGTCTATATCAACAATACGACACTGTACCTTTGCAAGCATGGGTCAGTGGATGGGGTGTTACTGAATTTGGTATGTTGAAAGTATCGTAGAATTTTTAGAGGAAGATATCGGAAAAATTCTAATAATATTGCAGAGGCTGAAGAAGGAAGTAATCAGTTGCAAAAAGCTCAGCTTGATGTTATCGATAATCTAAGCTGCGCGATACAACACAATCAATCAATAAAAATACCATATGGAATTACACCAAGCATGATATGTGCCGGAGATCCTCGCGGTGGTTGGAATAAAGACACGTGCCAAGGCGATTCGGGAGGTCCGATACAAATAGTTGATCCAAAAAATTTATGCCTCTTTCAAATAGTGGGCATCACTAGTTTTGGGCAGGGTTGCGCGTTTGTAAATATGCCTGGAGTCTATACGAGGGTCTCACATTATCTAAACTGGATAGAAGAAATTGTTTGGCCAGAATCTTAACTCTGTATAGCATCAACGTAACGTATATGTTTCGGTTTGCAAAGGTAGAAAAGTTTCTTTATTCGTTCTACAATTACTCGGAGCAATTCAAATATTAAAAGTTTAAAATACATTTAATATTAATATTGCTTAACGACATACATTGTGAAGACGACAGTGACATATGTTTCTTAACGGTATCATCGATCGATGCTGTGATCAATACATATACATACATATACGCGACGAATAATTTTGCGAATGTAAACGAACGGATATTAATTACTGTTGCGTTGAGAAATGTAAATTTTTTTAAATGCGTTACTTAGATTAATAATGCATATGGTGTGTAAATTGTACATAATACTAAACGATTGCAACTTGACTAGAAAAGTTTTATTTAGGTAGGAGCAACTTGATCATGACTGTAGAAAATAAATGGAAACTGGTGTCGATAGAGAGAAGAATTATACTCAAGATATCTTTGCATCGTGAATTGTTTTCCACGTGAGACCGTCCCCGTATGGACCGTGATTCGATGGAAACAATACATACCACCAACTTCTGTAATGATAAAATGAAAGAAGAAACGAGGATATACATATATTCGAAATATTCTATTGTAAAATAATTTAAACGAGGAAAGCAACGCTTTAAATTACCTTCCAACGGTGCCTAAAAACAACTTCCAGTTTTGTTTTGGTCCAAAATTATATGGATTTTGATAGAATTTTCCAAGTGCTTTATATTTTTCAGTTTCTGTGCTATTTATTCGAGCTTCTATACTTGTTTCCCCTCTAGCGATAAGGCCCGCGTGCCAGGACGTTAACGCTCCTAACGCTGCGAAAGTAGCTACGCAAATTAATGCTGCAAAAACAATAAGCCTTCGTCTCCATTCTTTAGCACGCGTATCCGCAGCTTGTTTCGCTATTTCAGCTAATTCCTCTTCGCTCAAGTGATCTAACGATTCCGTCTGGAATAAAGATATCAAACGTAGCAATTTTCTTGAGAGATTTACGAGAGATTTCCAAAGAAGATTCTAAAAATTACCACAGGAATTATTTCGGAATTATTAATGCGTACAGGATGACCATCTAATTCTGGATCTTGCGTCGGAAAGAATTCTTGATACGCTATTTCTACTCCAAATAGCATAATGAATAAAATACCAAATACCGTAAAAGTCATATATTGAAAAAAGTATCTATGATTGTAATGACCGACACAATTATTCAACCATGCTATTTCCAGAGTCAAGAAATCTATAAGAGTTTGCGGAAAGATAAAAGATTGAATATTTTATCCGAAAGGATACGACAATGATGATCCATCTTAAGAATGCATTTATTGCATACGGAGCAGTGATGCGTCCTGGGTGGTTTCGGTTTAATACACTTTTTGCAAATACTTACAGCCTCTGGAATAAGGCTACCTTCCGGTGGGTAGCCGGCTGGAACATTTACACCCATGTAATAATGAAAACATACGTTTACTAGTAACCAATTTCCAACCAATAGGAGGATTATCGTCATCGACGGACTCTTCTCCCACCAATACGGTAGACCGATGTAATAAGCAATGTACACGATACATGCGGTTAGGAGGCTTACCATTACTACAAATACCTGTAAACTGCCAGGCTTAGTAAATATATTGTAAAGAATTGGAAATTTATTTAGAGAAAGAGTTACGTAATTACGTACATCTCTGGAAATAAATAATAATCTAAATAGCGGAAGAAGATATTCTAAAGGTAATTACCGGTCCCAAACATGCAGTGAAATTTTCTACAAACCAAAACATTGGTTCCAGAAGAATATCACAGACGTAACTCCAGTTTAAGAAGTCGTTGTAAAATAAAGATTTTATAATGATTTGAAAATGCCACCATTTTTGCTTGAAATTAATTCTGAAAACGAGAAATGTATTACAACGAACATAGATACGAACGGATGGAAATCGTTGCTCGTTACTTTTGACAACTTACTTAAAAATATTTGGAGCTTTTGTTAACGACCACTTTATTCTAACCATTTTCCTTTACATAGAGTTTTCACAATGTTATTATTATTTGAAATCTCACTGTAATCTTGAAAGTGAAATTGTAGCTAAAAACGTAATTAGCGTAATTATCATTTAATTAATCGATTTGCAATGTATTACACGATATTGTGTCGAGTTTTATGTTGGTGATCTTTTTACTACTCTTCTTTCCTGTTACGAACTTTTTTTTTTATTTACAGATTATCAGCCTAAAATAGTTTTCGGATGACAGTTTGATCGTAATTATTTTAATCGAGCTTTAAATAGAAGAAACGAACTATAAAAAATACATTGATCGCGGAATTGCCGCATATTCTATACGTTGCTTGTTTAGAGTTCTATGTAAGATATGTGATATCTTGTTGCGCCACTGTCGCCATTCTACAGAGTGTTTCAAAAGGATGGAACGAACGCGCATGGATGGAAGCAAATTCCTCGAGCGAACAAACATTTAAATATCGTGATTCCCCAACATGAGTTTTTCTACAGTGACATGAAATTTCCTCGTACAAGGGGCCTTAAACTTTACCGAGACTGAATCTTACTCTCTGATTTGAACGAAAAATGAAAAGAAAAGTTTGTTCAAAGAATATGTATAAAGTTGTAATCAACACTTTAACCGTTCTCCATCACCAAAGTGATCAATCAAAGTGAGATACACGAAGATCTCTCAAAGTCACATATACGTGACAGCGGCCGTGAAATTGTTAATATGGACGACTTACTACTAAATAATAACACATCGTAATAAATATTGTACGATATATTACGTTTGAGAGATTATCGAACTGCATTATTAACAAGTACCTACCTACTTACTTACCTACATACGTAATTTGTTCGTTAAAGAGTGTCGTTTTATTTTGCTTAAAGTTTGACTGGAGCGGTACTCTCCTAAAACACACACACATACTTAAGAATCGAAGCGTATCCGTCGCCGGAACTGATAAAAATATCACGATACACGTAGATAGAGGGAAAAATGTGTTAAATTCGTCGGTATTCATAGTTTTAAAACTGTAACACGTACTTAGGTACTTATCTAGATCGCGGTAAAGGAAGGGTGGAAGTTGTAAATAAATAAGCGAGTTATCCAGACGAAAGGTCTTAAATGCCTTACCCTGTATGTAGGATTTACAGTAAAGTGCACAAGTCGAAGAAATTCAAATGAGATTTGTACGCGTAAAATATCGCTTTAAAATATCTTGAGTATACGATAACAGTTTCTATATGTATAAGTGTGAATACTTAACAACAAGTTTGTAGATGTCAGGCAACGGGATTAATTTAATAGTAATCGTTTTGTTAAGAATAACCTTTGCGCGATAGTATAACGGTAAATAGTAAGGTACGAGAGAATCACACGAGGCGTTGATCTTTAAAGATCACGTTTCTCTTATTTGGTCGAGGATACTACGATACTGATACATATATTATTGGGTCACTAATTATAATTTGTTCATCGTGCGTGGACGATGTTAGATATTGTTAATCTTAGAGTTTATTTAGCAGGTATACGCGAACCCTTAAAGTTTTCTGCAACCCGTTCGAATCGATCGAATTTAATTGTTTTTTTTGTTTGCGTACAGAGTACAGTTTAAAAGTATCGAAGTAAAGAAACCTTGTGTGCATAATCAGATACATATCCGTATAGTAGATGTGTAGAATAGAGGCGTAAATATGATGAAACGGGAAGAACGGGAAGATTTCTTTGTTTCTCTGTTCGAGTGTTTGTTCTGTATCGTTTGTAAATTAGAGATGCAATATACGTACGTGCATACATGTATGTATGTATGTATATGTAGAAGATTCGGAAATGTATCGGAACGTTAGGAAATCGATTCGAACGGTAGACAATATGTATAATACGTATAATAGTTTAAGCTTTCGGAGAAAAATGTTTGTATACGTGTGTAGATATGGTGTTTGCTCGAACTAATTCTACCGGCTGTTAAAACCTCTGTAAAAATTCGTCGTTGCTATAGAGTGGAAGAATTGATTTCTAGAGACACGGTTTCCGAATGAAATATCAGAGATGAAATTATTTTGGAGAAAAAAATTAGCAGGATCGACGAGATATGGATCGATAGACGTATCTATGTATACGTAGATAGATAGGGTTGCCAGCTCGTTGTTAAAATTTACCTGTTGTCAGTTATTTACAGAGAATCCGAATGCACGAGTACGTCGCGCGATAAGCATAAATAATTTTAGGTTTACTAATACTGATAATTTGTTTATCGTGTTCTGGACAGCACGCTCGAAAGACTGGGTAGGTAGGATAAATACATACATATTTACAAAGAGCGTTCGACGAGCTCCGGCTGGTTAGTTTGTTCGCGGGTTTCTATTAGAATGGTTAAAGATGATTTCTAACGAGATAATTATTAAATAGTAGATATCGATAATGTAACACGTTTCGGAGAAATATGTAGAGGCGGAGCTCGTTCGAAGGTCTGGTTAGATCGGGAGTTTAGGAAAGATCTCATAAGACAGTGTCGAGGGTGTCGAGACTCTTCAAGAGTTGCTCGTCCTTGGAACACCATTGCACCAATTCCTCGATCGTGACCACGCCGTCTTTGTTCGCATCTATCAACTGTGGATAAAATAGAAGGATAAATAGGAAATTTGTACAGTATGTATTAAATCGTTTGGTTCGTAATGGTGTTGTAGGTGGAATACTGACGTGAAAAATACGATCGACGTGTTCCCGGGCTGCCAAATGCGGCTCGACAATTTGCGGTTGCGTGTAACGGCCCAACATCTCGTAAATGGAACCAACCACGTCCAGCATTTCCTCTTTGCTGATCAGTCCATCTCCGTCTAGATCGTAAAGTCCAAACACCCACTGGAGTTTCTCCTCCACCGAGCCTCTGGACACCTTCGACAAGATCGTCAAGAATTCCTGGACAGAATAAAGGCAAGGACGTTGTCATGGAAGAATGTCGAATGGTTAGAATCGGAGAGAACGTTCACCTCGAAACTGATCTTTCCGGACGGTTTTCTCTTCATGGTATTGAAGACATAATGGGCGTACTGGCTAGCATCTGAAAGTTTCGATACCGGGATTTAAAATTTTTCTCAACCGTTTCTCCTCAAGTAATTGAATCTGTTTTGAGACAATTGCTCACCTCCCTGCGGAAAGAATTGTGAAAAAATCTGCTTGAAAGCTTCCTCGTCGACGAGACCGGTTGGACATTCCTGCTTGAAGCCTCGATATATCAGCTGTATCTCCTTCCTGGAGAACCTGGTGTTAGCCGCCAAGGTGGCGAGTTCCTCCGGTTTGTGCCGACCGCCGAGGGCAAGGGCACCGGCAGTAGAACCCCCTAAAACGCCCCCGAGTTCTTCAAGCTCGCCCTCTGTAAGTTTGCCAACAGGCGGTTCGCTTCTAAGACTGTACGCGTTCGAGAGTACTCCCCTCTCACCTGTGCTCAACCGTGTGCTTCTTCCTCTACTTCAGGCTAAGGGAGAGACCAGACACCGTTCCTCCTCTCTCACTAGCAGGCAAGAGAGGAGATTCTACTTACGAGACAACAGGGTGGAACGCAACACCTCGACAAGTTTGATCGTTACTTGAACGGGAGAAGATAGCGAGCGAGCGAGCGAGCGGGGCCGGGTGCCCGAGAACACACCATCTTCTCCAGGCAGCCTGCCCACGCTCCTCCCACCGACAGTAAAAACAGGGTTCTATTTCGAGCTGGATGGCTGGGTGGTTGGTGAGGACGAGAGACAAGGGCGCGGAACTCGGTCACGCAGCCACGCACTCACGCACACGGTGCGAACAGGTGCACAGAGTTGCAGACAAACAATTTCACCCGGGTAAAACATAACATATTTAACAAATCGTTCTTCGTAGATCGTGTTTTACTTGGGAACGGGGGGATAAACGTAGAAACGAAGAGCGCGCACGATTCCATTTTTTTACGAGCAAGTACTTTTCCAGTCGGTTCGCGGTTTGCTTCGACAATGGAAAGATGCGTGAAATTTAAAGACAAGGATATACCAACAAGTTGCTAAATAGATTTCAGGCGAGTGACAATAACTGATGGATACGACTTTAGAGTGGAGAAGTTGTCAAGTTTGCCAGATCGATCCTACGATTCTACTATCCTACGATCCTACGATCCTACGATCCTACGATCCTACGATCCTACGATCCTACGCAGCGACGCAGCGTCGAGCGATTGCTTTCGTTGACAAGGGGGACGATAGATATCCTCGATCCGCAACATCATCTACGCGTAAACTTTCATTTGATCGTTTTCACGCGACGCGAACGTCTAGATTCTTCGTTTCGTCGCTGTAACGTTAAAATCGATACTCGACACGAGATGCTATCTATAAATATGTATACATATACAATTATCCGCATAAAAATAAGATCAAAGCGCAAACGAAAGCACGACCCAACGCTACAAACCTACAAATGCACCTACTCAAAAAAGGGTTTAACGAATCTCGCAGCCTACAAAGACACTATATCGTAAGAATTTGTACAAGACGTCTGGTCGTTCGTAGTACATACGATCGAAAGGAAATGATTTTCGTAGAGATACAAAGGAATAAATAACAAAGTCCGGGACATGTTGTACGATGCTACGAGCGCAAAAACTATTTTGCGCTCTAAACTAACAGTTAAACGAACAACAGACGTTTGCGTTCTTGGAAAAATTCTTATTATTCGGAGGCGAATTCGCGCGTGTCTACCTATCATGCAATTATACTGTTCTTTACGCATGCTTCGGTTCAGTGTTTGAAAACGACCAGGCGAACAACCGCGTTCAACCGCGTTCAACCGACGTTCTTTTCGCGCCTTCGCCAGAGTAGAAATATTATTTGTCAGGAAACTTTGCGTGGCCGTAAGCAACCAGTCTCTTACCGCGTTTTATTTTTTCATGCTCTTCTTTCTACGATGTTCGATGCAACTGATAATAATGAAAATGACCCGTCAAGCTGGACGTTCGCGACTAAGGTAGAAGCTTCCCATTGATCGTTGCTAAAATTACAATCGCGAAACTACACGAGGCAGAAACAAATTACGCGACACTGCATACCGGAAGGAAGTCCAAAAGCCAGGCTAAATGTCAACATATCCGTGTACAAACTGTACAAAGAAAACAGTTTCTGGTAAATAATACGTTTAACTGGTGTTCGTGTAGTACACATGTATGTACATATAAGCAACTAATTGTTTGCGTGTTTTTGTTTTAAAATGAAGGTACCGTGACGGATAAGGGATACTTCACAGCAAGGGTAAAATAATCGAGAGCGATCGAAAAATACGGCTTTCGAGTGTCCTGTGTATGTAGACATACATAGACATCGTGGATGCATATAGAGGCGCTTGCGCTCGCATAGGTATGTATGTATGGTTTGCAGTGTAATTCCAGTAGCAGCTCTGGTCCCGGGCATCCGGGGTCACCATAGCAACGCGGGACAGCTCCTACCCTGTTATTCAGGCTACTTGGCGTTTCCGTAATCCGAAGCATTTTTCTCTATTAAAAGCGCGCGAATCTGAACGTTGCACACGATACGTACAAGTAAGAAAGAGATCATGGATACAAGGATGGATAGCATGGTCGGTGTCGGCGTCGCTGTCGCCGTCGCGTCGCGTCGGTCGGTTCCCTAGCAGACCACAATTAACAATTCCAAAATGGGGGCTAACTGTGAAAAGGAGAAAGTATAAGTAGTGGTGAGTCGAATGGAGATATAAAATAATGTGAAGGAAAAGAGAGTGTATTGAGAATGCGTGTTTGATTTGTTCTCAGTGAATCGAGCGAGTCTCGCACCTTGCCGTTGCATCTTTCGCAGCTGTTATCACTGACACACACCCCCAACGAACGCGCGATAAATAGAGGGAGATCGTTCCGAGGCCCCTGCCCCCTCACGTTGTGTAAAATCCCTTCGTCTCAAGGCGGATCTCTTTCCACGGTGTGTATCGACTGGCCTGCTTGCCTGCCTGCCTGCCTGCCTGCCTGCCTGCCTGCCTGCCTGCCGGTTTACCGATTTACCCGGAGAGGAAACTCGAGCGGCACTACAGTCCGCCTGTACCAATCATGGACTTACTTTTCTCCCGGCTCTTACGTGCCTTCATTTGGCAGTTAGAAATTTGCAATCCGAATCGAGCACAGCGATCCACAAACTGGCAATTCGATTCCAATTAGTCAGGCGATCGGTTCGCGAACCATCGGTTGCCTTTTCTTCACGATGTCGATTCTTTCTTCGTCGAAACCGATCGACGCGTGCCACCCAATTCACCGATCGATGCTCCGCGACGGACTAACGTAACTTAACCCACTGACTCGGTAACGACGCGCGCTCGTCTCGACCCTCTCATGCTGATGCATCGAAAGACCCGGCCACGCAAAAGCACGGGCTTTCCTTGCTCGCGCGCAAGTCCGGCCTGACACTTTTTTCGAACCGCGGTCATCCTCGGCTACCAACCCAATCGGGAGATGGATTAACAAACCGTCGCGCTCCTTCCCCATCGACAACTTTATCCTCGCCTCTTTACCTCTTTTCTTTTTTACTCTTACCAACTTTTCTCTTCTTAGTCTTGAATATTTACTCCTGAATTGCCCTCTTCTTACCTCTTTTCTTCTACTCGACGTCACCTATTTTTATCATCGGCCTACGATAACAAACCTAATGGCATTCAAACTGATGATGATGATGATGATAATGGACTGGTTCGATTAAAAAACATCCACTCTCGGTAATCTCCTGTTAATCTTTATTTACCATTCAATCGGATTGTTTACATAGCTGAAACTATCGACGAGAATATCTTTCGAACGTGTTTTAACGTATACATGTGTATTTTTAGCCTGTTGTATGCATTATCTATCTTTGATGCGGTTGAGAAACGCGAGGTGCTTTCGTCCGACTATGAACGATTTTTCTACTGGATGCGCGCATCGTATACATCGAGTCCTTCTACTTGCCAGATACATTCTATCTACATACATACTTCGCTACGGTATGCAAATATTTTTTTCTCTCTTATAGATTTTCCCTCGATGTACATACTTACATATGTACCTAGTGTACCAAACTATGTCCATTCCCCATAATTTATAACCAAATCAATAAACATTTATCGGAAATATTCGAGGTAAAATAACTCGAAAATTATCTTGAAAATTAATAACACCTTTTTCACGGACTATTATTACGATTACCTTAGTAACAAGGAAATTACTCAAAGCTATTGCACGGTACGGTTTCCTCCTGTAGACGCGTTAGAAATTAAACGAGGATCTTGTACTACAGCTTACGTCGATCGAAACCGGATCCAAGAACGTACTTGTAAATAGTTGCAGATTATTTACTTTGCTTATACGCGTAATCTATTGGTTGCGTACGCTACGAAAGACCATGAAGATAAGTACTTGTATATGCATGCCAAGCAAACATTGATCTTTCCTCGAAAAACGAAAAACGGATCAAAGTTATTATTATTATTATTATTACTTCGATCGATAATATCGGATTTTGATATCTATTTGTAGATGGCAGGATAATAGTATTTTTCGATCAGTACTAGATTCATTTTACTGCTATACCAGTACCTACTTACATTATATGTATGTATATCTATGGAAGAATAAAGTAAATGTCCATTCATCCATGCAACGGTAACGTTTCATTTTTCCACTAATTTTTACAATTAAAATACGATTACATTTGCACAATTTCATAGGAACGTTAACCGTACACGGGATATAGTCAATTAAGAGAGTTTCGTTATTAAGATAAGAATCTACTGTATTTGGAGCAATACAGATATTAAGAAAAAAACGGGCTAATTTTATTGGAAATATCTTTCTTTTCTATCTTTTTTGTTCGAATTAAAGGAAGAAACCCGCGTGATTCGGTTAGCAGACGAATTTTTCTATCGGCCATATCAGAAATATGTCCAAGGACCAAGAAAAGGATTACGACTGAGCGCCTCGATATTTGAAAATGAACGGCAACGATATTTCAAGATTATCGTACAAGGAATTGCAGGCGTTAGCTCTCAGATATCGTGTACCAGGTAACATAAAGGTAATTATTTAATTGTTCGTGACGTTTAAACGAAAAATTCCCAAGCTCGTGATCGCTTTCTCATTTTCATCCAAACACGAAAACCACTTGAAATTGATTTTTAAACGGTCGATCATCGTTTTCTCACCATAGAAGAAACTGTTGGTTAAAGTATTGCAAGCTGCAAAAGGCGGAAATGAAATCGAAGTTGGCAGGCTGCTGCAGGATCTCAAACAAAATCGTAAGAGAAAGGTGAGAAAAATCGAACCCGGAAAATTTCTTGGGTTAACCTCCACACCATTGCACAGTCCTGATTACGTTATGGCTGACGATCATTACTGCTCGCAACAACAACCACCATATCAGGGGGTAAGTCGACTGGATCTATTGCGAAAACATGCAAATTTCCAACGTTCGATCGGCTAGTTACACGATCTGCCTATTTTATTACTTAATATCTATCTTATTGATAGATATTGTTCAAAATCAAACAACGTGTTTACAAAATCTTGAAAATTTTACATATTTCCAAAATAATATATATCATTCTTTTTATAGAGAAAAACCGTTTGAAGAAATTTTAGAAGATAACAGAGAAATAGAAATAGTTTTATACATACTTTTTAACAAAATGGGATTTATGTGCTTAGGTTGCCGCCGAAGAAGAGATTGTAAGTAGAGACGAAGACAATAGGATTCCTCACTACGAAGACTTTAAGCAATTTTTGTTAAAGAAGATACAGAGGGAGTTTCAAACGTACGATACAAATAATAATCAAGTAGAAAGTTCCTCTATCGTGGACTTGAGAACAGCGACTGTTTCCTCCGATCTGCAAACTATTCCTTTGGATAATAGCAACCATACCAGATCTAATCTAATACCTGCTAATAATAATAGTAATATAGATTCGTTAACCTATCGACAGAACGATTGCCTTCGACATCAAACATCCGAGGATAGAAACAGCAATCTGCACGGCTCGATACTTTTGAAGAAAATGTTACAAGCACCGGTCGGTGCAAATTTAGGAGAAATAGCTAGTCCTCCGATAGGTGGTTATCGGTTTTCTGCGATGGATCATTATCAGTCTAATAGTTTACTAGATAATTCTGATACATTGACTGCCGAATCGGACAATCAAGATAATAATGAAGAAAATTTCGAAAACACTTCAGACTGTTACGGACTTTTAAGCAGCATGAAAGGAGAATACTTGTTCAACGAATCAAATTTTGTTAAGCACGTGGATGAGATCGGTCAACAAATTACCAATGTTTTAACTAATGAAAATGATAATCGATACAAGTATTCTACAAATAATGATACGCATCAAGATTACGAGAATTGGACTATTACCAATGTTATGGACGCAACAGATACCAACTGTACAACATCCGATCTTGTCCAGTCCTCAAGAATCTATCAAACTATGTATTATGATAATACGGGATCTATTCCTTTAAATAAACCCACGAACGACGAGGGTTTAACATGCCAATATCGTACCATCGAAAATGTACATGCTTATAACTCTAGTCAGAATTTATTTAATTTTAATGCGACGGAAGAAAGTCAGTATTACGAGACAAACATCATTCCCAATATGCAATCTGACTCTACTAGTACACATTATTTACAAAACTTAATCAAATTTACTACAGAAACTAACCAAGAATATTTTCAAAATACACATTCTTATTCAAACGCAAACATAAATCAAGATACATACTCATCCACTGTTTCTCAAACCTTTTCTAACAACAACCGCTATAATTCCAATACTTTGTGCGAAAACTCATGTTCGAACAATAATCAGGGAAATATCTCACTGTCTGAAAACTTTGAACAACAGACACCAAACTGTCATTCTACCGTACAAATGTCTGAATCCAGTACTAAGAAAAATGTATCGAGTACAGTGGATAAAGTAAAAACGAATGGTATGTGACTATGTATTTCGTTATTCTTTTAAAATTACTTAATTCGATATACAAAAGATACTCCATCCGTGTAATATTCTTTCTTTGATACTTTTAGGAATACTAGATGCATTTTGGCCAAAAAAATTCTCAAAAATTCCAGCGGATCCCATTTTGGAAAGTATTTTAAATTTCATTGACACCGAGCGCATAGATTTATCAAAACTAGATCAAACATCTTGCGTACATTGTTACGTAGCGCCGATTGTCACACATTCGCCGGAATCATCGCATGTAATTTGTTCTCAGAAAGCAAGATTCGTTGCCGAATACAGGCAGCATTCTTTTTACCCCCATTGGTTACTGTACAACGATTCCTCCCGTGGAATGCAAATGGCTAATTTACAAACAGAACTTGAAGAATCCGCGACGGAAGAAATGCCAGTTTTGTGTACATCGATACTCAAAAGTACACCTGATTTAAACGAATCGATCGAAGGAACTCGAGATTCCATTCCCGAACTTTGAACACAAAATTACAGAAACAAATCTCAGTCATGAAGAAAAAAAAGAAGAAAAAAAGAAAAAAAGAAAAAAAGAAAAAAAAGTACAAATATACGCAAAGATTTAAATATTAAAGATGAACAACTGAAGACCGATGGTCAATCAGTCAGTCAGTCAGTCAGTCAGTCAGTCAGTCAGTCAGTCAGTCAGTCAGGTGGATTAAGGTGTTTCTAAGAGCACAGCTCAATAAGAGAAGAAATACATATGTAAGTAAGTACTGCTGGTAGTACATTAAATTGTATGTAAGATTTATTGAGACAGAGTAAAGTACAAAAGTTTTGATATTATGTAATTTTTGAGGAAATCTATTTACACGTTATTTATATAATTAAGAATAGAAATCAAAGTTTAACATGATCAAAGAAAAGATCTTATTTGATCTAGTTGGGGAAATGCAGATCATTATATCGTTACTATCATGTAAAATTATTTTTCTACTGTTAATAAATGATAATTATGGAAGAAATGTGTCGTAATAGCGTATACAAGGAAATAATTGAATTTTTATATCCGTTAAGACGATGTTAAGACGTACGAGAAACGAATGCGGGAAAATTAAAGTAAAACGGCCATTTCTACGGGGTGTGTGTGTGTGTGCGCGCGCGTGTCAAGTTTCTGTTCGATGGATATAAGGAAATAAAGAATTTTTGCGTAACAAGATGATAAAGAAACGACTGGCTGAAAATAATTGTCAAGAACAATGAAAATTAATTACTTTTTACATTTTTGCTTTCGTTTATTTTCTTCATTCACGAGCAATACTTGTAATATTCTATAATTTTATTAAGAAATACATAAATGGCAAGCATCGTAAAAAGAAAAACAATTTGAAAAATATTATATGTATACGTAAAGCCCACGTAATTGTATTGCAGATCGAAAATAGAAAGGTAAATGTATTTTGAAATTCGAGTAGCTACTTGAACGATGGTAATATTTTACGCTCGGTGATTGTCGTGAATTATTCGTTGGAAAAATTGAAGAAAAATTCAACTCACTTGGAATTCCTTCTGCTTGCATTTGAGTCTTTAGGTAATTGAACACTTTAGCAGGTATCGATTCCTTTCTTCGATTTCTATATAATCCCATTTCAGTTTCCATATTTTTTGGAGTAATCTGTTTCTCGGAAGATTTATCTGGCGTCACGTTAACGCTATACATTTTACGTTTTTAACGTAATTAACGATATTTGTTCGGCTTTTAAAACGTATTCTTTTCTTCTTGAAAAATGAAACCACGAAAATTTATTTCTCGCCTTGCCTATTGTTCGTCAAATATACAATCTGCAAGCAATTGCACGAGAAATTTAAGTAAAGAGTGTACTTTCCGAGGCAAGATCTCCGACACTACTGTGTTACAAAAAAAAGCAGTATCGCGATCTAGGTGAGAATGCAGTGTCACAGAGTCGCTCGCTCTGTATTTAATGAGATCCTCGAAACACGAGACTAATTATTTTACCGTTTCGTTCAGTTTTTCCACGAAGAAAAGAATTTTAACAGTGGGTTCGACGTAAGTACACGTGTATTTATTCAATGATTAATTTTATTTAAAAACATTACGCCATAATAATAACAATAAAGATGTTGCATCGATTTTTATTTTTATGTTTCTTTACGAAGATGCAACATCGATCAAAAGATATTTAAATTGATACATTTTGTTCAATTATTTGCTGATTGTCGATTATTCTTTGAATTTGTATGGCTGTATGTGTTAGCATCGAAAGAAAATCTGTTTGAAAAAAGGAATCTGAAATGCTAATAAATAAGTAGAGATGGCTTGTCTCGGTGTAATATGTACCGAGTCCGAAGATTTCGAGTTCACTTTTGCTAACTAATCTTCTTCGCGTATGGTTCCAAAGTAGATTTCAGTTTAGACGTAAGTTAGTGTACACAGAAATCTGTGTACTCTGCCAAGCGCCATTACTTGTTTCAACAAAAATAATCCGTACACAATTGATCGTGCAGGAAAGAGTGTCGTGTCGTGTAGGTACACCATTTGCGAGATTTGCTTTATTTAAAAAAATAAAACATTCGCAGAACGAAACGCGTAGATCGAAGAAACTTTGATTAATTTAGTATTCTCGATTGTAAGTAATAATGATGCTGCACGTGAACGGACGATCGATAAATAAACAAAATTATTTGAATAAAATGTTCAAATACAGTGTAGAATATAGTAAAATTTCAAAAAAAAAAGAACTGACAAAGGAACGTAAAAATTTGTAAAAAGGTTCGGTAAGTCACGGTTAGAAAAAACGAAAAAACATTATTCTAGGCTTATGAGAAATGTGATTTGAATGCTGTTCGGGTTATAAGTGAGTGGTGCGTATTGTATAATAAACGGCAAACTGTACACAAGCTAGTAAATTAACTGTAACACTGTAGGCCTTGAAAGAGAAGAGAGTATTCTCTACGTTTGTTAACTTTACCAATTTTAGTGGGTGAATTGTGTCACAGACCAAGTAGGTACTTATGTATACGAGTAGACAGCTTACACTTTATGGACTTTCGTTCACTGCCATGCCGACGTAAAAAATACATTAGGTGAAAGCACAGACGAGGTATATGAATATGTAGACCTTTCACCTTATGGAATTTCGCGGCCGAATCTGACTGCCATACCGACCTGAAAATTCGGTGCTGATTTTAGCGGCCTCTTCTCATGGATGGCGGTCAGTTGAGAAACTCACTGAATTAGTGTGATAGGCAGCAGCTAGTGCGTATAAATGCATACCAATTGAAAAGTAGGAATAATTCGCGATTCCTTGACTAGTTAAAGTTGTAAATAATTTACTAAAAATCAGTCTATCCGCGGTTTCTAGGTGAGGCATGCCCGAGGCACGGGTTCGTAATACATACATATGTACAAGCTTCGCGAGACGTCGGAGCTCTCCCCACTCCGCCGCCTAATTCCCGAGCGTTGCCGAGCACAGCGGACGGCCATCCATCATTCTTTACTTTGACGTCAAGACGTATCGGCGTTCCGCGACCGAGGTGCGTATTTCTAACCTGTTGATCTTTCCACTATTACTAATTACAATCTCTTGCAATACGGTACCGATTTAATCATACTACTTAATTATAATAATCGTTTGTGTACTTTAATGCATCGTTATTTCGTTTCTGTTACAGTGTCTTATTGGAATTCGAAGTTAAGAAATAATAAGACTTGTTGAAACCTGTCAAGACGTGTCGGCGTTTCGTGACCAACGAAGTACTTAGGTACATACGTATTCCTAACCTTTTCTTATTTCCTCGTTATAATCAATCATTGTTTAATTATGATTTAATTTGTATTTTATTTCTGTTGCAGTCTCCGATTGAAATTTGGACGCCATGGGAAGTTTTATTGGCGCGTAAAGGACACCGTAACAGATGGCAGACGAGTCGAGAAATTGTGGAGGGAATATTGGTAACATTTAAACAATTGTAACAAAAATTAACATTCATATTAATATTTATACATTCTTATTGTAGCTTTATTACGTTCGTTGCAAGCATGATTTTAACTTTATAATCGGTCATTGTTAAGATCAAATATTAAAATCATTAACAAACTTTTTATTTACTTCGATACATATCGAAGTACATGTACAGAAATGGCGTCGGTAGATATTAACGATACATTGGAATAGTTTATATTAGAATGTATTCCGATCGCGATTAAATATTTTCGACTATTATTTATTTAATTGATCGTTTATATTTCTTTATGAATTGTTGTAATTGGAATTTGCATACATATTTCGGTACAAGTTTCAGGAAACGTAGTAACTGCGAAGTTGAAATATGCTATTCAAGCATAAATAACTAGCGAACTTTAATTCTTGGAAATTTCGGAATATTTATAAAAATTACGGGATATTCTAACGTTCGATAAATTAAACATAATCATGCTTACAACTCTAATTATGAAACTTGGTGATATATTTATAAATTGAATAATTATTTTCGTAGTTAATATTTTGTCGTTGAAATTCTCATTGATAGAGAATATTTCGCCTTCGTGGCATTGATATTGTGTACGGGACAAACTATGTATGTATACAGCAGTACATACTAAGTAAAGCAGTGTTTTCGTTGACGAACTCTAGTAAGAAGAAAAACAAAAATCGATAGGCGAAGCACAGACGTGCTTGTTGTATTTCTTGTCTCCTGTCCCTTTCTTTTCAGGACTTTTCTTTCCAGGAAATTTGTTGGCCGCGCGCAATGCGGCCGGTAGATTCAGTGATCGTGCGTAGCAAACAAGTTTGTTTTTCGGGGCAAAGTGACCCCAAGCTCGTTATCGTTCACGGTGTTAGAGAAACGCGAGAATAGAAGCAGTGTTTCTCACGCGGTATTAAATTATTTCCAGAGCATCGTGGCTCTCTGTTTTCTGAATCGCGATAATAGAGTCATTTGTTCGCCGATTTCAATCTTCGGTCGCGGTAATCTAACTTAACACTTTCCAATCAAATTAATTATTTTTTCAATTTGACATTTAAACTCCTCGTTACCGGAATTAGAATCGGTGCATCGCCGAAGAGGATTATTTGGCGATGCTCCACGAGCAAACAATGTAAGTATAAATTTATACTTATAAATTTTTAATTAAAAATCTCTACAGTTTTACCAATAGATTCTAATTGTTTTCTTACAGTTTTCTTACAGTTTCTGATCATGATCCTGGGAACCAGCAGCAGTACCCGGGGGGGTATCGGGCGGTGGACCACGAGCGAACAACGTAAGTATAAATTTATACTTTGAAATTTGTTAATTAAAAATCTCTATAATTTTAACAATAGATTATAATTGCTTTCTTATTTTTTATATCAGGAGCATGCAGGGGGCTCTGATGACTTCCACCGGGCAGCCAGCAGCAGCAGCATCATCATACAGTCATCCCAAGAGGTTCAAGTTCATCACTCGTAGTAAGTCGCATGCTATTTATGTTCCTCTGGTCCCCAACCATGTTGTAGGATGAAAGATCCGAATCAACACGGGTGATCAGTTGTATACTTAGTATTTTTCACGAGTTAAGTGACCGCGGGTATGAAAAATACCCGTGAGTAGCAACATCAATTGTTATATCTTTTTAGTTCAGGCTAGGGTCTTCTTGCACTCGCGTTTTTTAATGTTATCAATAAATGTTACACAACTTCATATGAATTATATAATCGAGTAGAATAGAAATTAATATAATGCGAAAGCATTATATCGATCATATGATCCAGTAGAATATCAAATATTCGTTTTATCGATTAATACATCATATGATGTATTTCACGTGCAAGAAAGCGTTTCGCGACTGGTCGTTTCTCAACTCAAAGGAACATGCATGTTAGTTTCGTCTTTTAAAAAATTTACTTCGACGACAGAATCGACCAGGGATAATTGAATATTTTTAATAATAATTTAACAAACTTATTTCAATTTGCAAAGTAAATTATTTTATTATGATATCTTTATTAAAGTCTTCCATTTTGAACAATTAATTCAGTCACAAATTTATCTTGAATAATAATATCTTTCGATATTAACGTACTCTGTTGTTGATATATTACATATAACAAGTCGAGCCATTTTAATTGAGAATAGATACCGTTTAGTTAATTATTAATAACCAGTTGTTCTAGTCAGGATTTTCAGGATACTTTTCCGTGTTCGTTGCCCAAGTTCATGCACATGCCCAAGTGTTATTTGCACGAGCGAAG